TATATATATAGGCCTCATATATATATATATTCATTCTTCTATAATGCTCATAACTGAAAACTTTGAAAAGGCTCGGAAACAGAATGAATTATTAAAATGGAACATTGCACACACATTCAAAATACATTATTAAATGCCAACTACAGATTTTTGTTTTCGATTTTCATTCCAAAGACGAAATATAGACAATAGCTGCGTGCTGCCCAAAGTGCTCCACATAATATTCGAGTGAAAATGTATTTAACTTTTTTCAATCTTTGTTAAAGTCGAAGGTATGCCCTGGTCCCCGACTTTTTTATAGGCCCATTCACTTGGATAGGCTTATCTTCATAAGACTCTTACGAATGGATACCTTGTTTGGAGCAAGAAACCAAGTTGTCTTTACCCAGTACCGCTGGTATATTTTATTCGTGTGGGAAACCTTTACCCTACAGTATGTTATCTTGATGAAACGGTCTGGGTTGGTTTTTTTTCAAGGGTCACCTTTGTCTTAATACTGATGCTTCAAGATCAAGGTACCTGTGAAAGCATTGTTACAAATTTTATTCAAGCAATATTTAAATATAATAATGTTCACAAAGTTCTGGAGAACATGTTGTCATGTATTTTGTCCTAGTATATGAGGTTACATACTGAATGTGCACAGGGGAGGGGGAGACTTCCCTGACAAGAGCGAAGTGGGCGTGGTCGGACGTCGCTCATAATCTCCCGGAAGTGGTCCACGGGACGATGCTCCGAATAATATTACCATTTAGGGATTTTAAAGGCTTATTTAATCTATTTTAGAGTCTATTAATATGTAAGAAATACATTTATTTTTCTCTCCGACGAATTCAGTTTTTCTCTCCGACCGGGTTGGGGGCTCTCCCCAATGGCCCTGGCCCCCGCTGCCGTCACCGCTGAATGTCCAATTTGGCTTTATCCAATCGTATTTGATTGAAAAGAAATTGCAGAGCTTTTGATGAATAGATTCAATCTTGTTGTAATTGGTTAATTGATTATTTAATATCGATATATTTATTAGTCGATCGATTGTCGTTTATCGTATCGATCGGTTAGGGCCTGTTAGCAATTTCATCTGAAGGTATGTAATATAGTGACAACAGAGCTAAACATTGTACCTGTAGTGACATAGGCCCGCCCCCTCCCCCCACTCTATATCTTTCAAAAAAAAATTCAGAAAAAAAGAAAATTATATTCAAATTGTATAATAAAATTCTAATAAAAGTCTAAGAATGCCGTTTCCGGCCATCTAGAAGTGACATCAAAATTTTTCTTACCTCAGCCCCAACATTGTTGGGGCTGAGGTAATATCGACCCGCCATCTGTGAAAGTCCCTCTCTGGGGCGCTCTCTATTTCAAATTCCTGGATCCGCCACCGGTGACGAACATTCGTAGTCAAGAACTGCTGTTGAAGACGTCAAAATCACAATGCATCCTCGAATTCGTGACCCCCTAATTCCGAACCCTCTAATTATTCGAGACCAAACCAAATAAAAATCTTCAATCTTTTAACACAATCTAACCCTTGTAGCATCAAAATTTGTCGCCAGAAATTTGTCGACGGAGGGGTCCAAACAAGGGGCCGACACGGGGAGAGTTTTTATTATGGCTTAAGATGGTCCAAAATGTGCTTTTAGATCACAATATTAGGGATCGGCAATCAAAATAGCGTTATTTGGATACGCAAATTATTATTTTGTTAATTTTGGATCCGACGACTAGTCGTGCGTCGGATGACAGGATCCAGCCCACCACTGCGCTGGAGATCGAACACCGAGACCACCCCAAAGTTTCAGGTTCGAAAAGTTTAGTCACTTTTATTTTAGACCCATTTTTAAAATGCGGACCCATTCTTTGTGGACCCAATAGAAAAATTGTGTGGGACTGTCTCAATTATCCCAATAGCTGGCTACGGCATTGTTTACAAGTGACGTGTGCATTTTACTTATCTAACCACCTCCATCTCAGTGTAACATTATAGATTAGGCCACCTATGATCATCTAGTTTAACAAGTCTGTCAAAATGATAGGCCTATTAGGGACTAATTTTCTTTTGTGCAATTTAAACCATACAGTTTTCTACAAAACGGAACTCTTAATTTTCCACCGAAAATCCCTACCAGGTTAACGTCATTTGCATCCTGGTGTCGCGATAAATAGACATTCGGGTCCCCTCTGGGGGGTTTTGGAGAAAAGCAAACCAAGGTTATTATTATTTTTTTTTTGAGAAATGCTTGCATTTCGATATTTAATGTTTGAGTGTTGAAACTTTACCTAATACGAATGACGTCATACAAAATCAGGAAAGTACAGGAAACAAAAGTAAATAAAAGTGTGGCATTTCAATTTCAACTGAATTTTGCTAAATAAACAATCATTGCTTAAATTCTTTTGTTTTGGCTAATCAAATTTC